ATGAACTAGTTGATTGAGTAGACAGTTTGACCCAAAGGTCGTTCATTATAAAATAGAGAAAAATCCTAGGTAGGTTAACCTTTTCACCACCAGTTCCTTCTTTTCATTACAAATTCACAAAATAGTCACATTCATAGTCTGCTCTTTCCCTTCCGATGATTGGGAAAAAAATAGCCAAATTTTTCTGAGTAAAAACTGAAAATTTACTAAAATTCCGTCTCTTGGCTCCAAATTTAGGGTTCATTTCCAGAAATATTAAAGAATATAAAAGTGCAGAAAAATGTAGACGAGAATGTCTGGTGGTGAAAAAGTTAAATTGTACCGTGAACAGTGTTGGAAATACATGTATCTAATTCAGCAGTGTATTATCTTTACTTGAAATACAAGTGACACACGTCGGGATTAGCCATCAGAGTGGTGCGCTCTCTATATCAATTTGTCTGACAGACATACGTACTAAGATTAGTTTTGAAGTTGTTTAGCTTCGTGACAGTATGTTATCACTCTATCGTAAGTCTAGGTGCTATCTCAGGTCAAAATAACGTTACATCTAGCATCAACGGTCAATTAGTATCATTATCAGTAAGTGCACCCTCTAACGGAACGAATTCGTAGAAATCTTAAATCAAAATGGAATCACATAAACCAAGTCGAGTTGTTGACTGCCGAGAGTATTGTGACATCTGATTTTCTTGTTTTCACACTAATTTTGTTTATTAAATGTGATTTTCTTTTTATCAAATTACAAATAATTAAACTATCGTAAACTATTTTTTTAAAGCAACTATTTCAATGTATAATTTTCCACCGGGTAAATGATTGCATAACAAAAATTGTGTCTGAGATGCATATGTGTGTCTGTGGCACACCACATGTGTCTGTGATGCATCATGTGTCTGGCTTAGAAAAACACACTGCTGATAACAATAGTTTTGATTGGCCGAATAAGTCATCTGGCAATCATGTAAAATTTGAATAAATGCACCAAAAACACAGTAATGGTTCTTTGAAAATAATTCCAACAAGATATAACAGACCCTCTAATTCCAAAAATTAAAGTGATATTTTACAGCCACACAAAACTTGTTCAATCGACACAACACTATGATTTGTCACAAATATTTCCCAATTTGTCAGTTTTGACCGATATTATATAGAGAGCACACATCTCTAGTGACCCCTTGATTAGTTACCCTACATAATGAGTTACTTACGTCCAACTAAAATAAACCGCAAACACAGAAATATGAGCATGGAAGTGAAAACAAGAAAACAAAGCGAGTGTTTGGGGTGAGTATTGCACAAACTAAACAAATCTAAAACAACTCATGCTTAACAAGTGTACAATAATCTCAATCTTCAAGTGTTCTTATTTCAATGCTTTACTCGGAAATGACAAGTGAATATAAAAAAGTTCTAGAAATATTTTAAATTTTCTTTAGTTAAAAGGTTTTAAACTGAGGAGTATAAATTGAGGATTTTGGAAGAATAACATTTGCTCTATTGTAAAGGCATCTGAAACAGAAACGAACAGTTGTACATATTTGTACACTGGGCCGATATATGACTCATTTTGACCATAGACATAGCTCTGTCATGTATGTAAAGTGTATGCGCTACTAATAAAGAAAATACGGTACATGCACTTACATAAATGACGTGGTCATAGGAAATAGGCCATATAGTTGTATACTGTAAAATACTTTATTTTAGCTGGAATTAATTTTCAGGCGTTTTGTATGGAATTTATTTTCACTGATTTTTGACGAATTGAATGTAAGATATATTCGCTGGATTCTATTTTCACTGAAACATTCTTTCAGTGAAAATAGCAAAATTGATTTCAAAGCGAAAATAAAGTATTCTACAGTATCAATCCAACATAGAATACAGTATTCTCACTGAGATTAGAACAACTTGAATTCAGATGGGTACAGAAATGACGGATATTACACAATGTAAATAAAACTGCTACACTGTATATTATTTGGTAGTCAATATGCAAACAAAAAATGGTGACATCTACACATGCAGGAAAGTTGAAGATTGTGATAGGCCCTGGCAGGTTAACAAAGTTGATGTTTTTTTTGAAGGATAAACAGCCACTCGAGGAATGGCAATCTGTGGGTTGTTTAGTAAACAACATTACCTATTCAATTTTGAATAATATTTTTAAACATGAGCTGTGTGATAACTGTGATGATTCTAGCAAACAGTTAACCACTCAATTCTGAAGCTTTTGCAAAATGAAAAAAAAAAAATACTTTGGTAACCTGTCAGCTCCTGGCATCAATACATGCAAAACATACTGCAATGTGCACAGAACAATAGACTTAAAATAATTCATATACCTGGTCACGCCCCTTTTTATCATCCTTCAACATCCTGAAATGAGAAATGAAGAATTATAAGTTTCATTTTAGCAAGTTAGGACAATCTGAGT